GGCTTGGATTGACAATATTATGAATGAAATGTGCTTTATTTGGAAGCCGCCCCCCTCCCCTTTCGACAGGTTATGTGTGAGACTTCAGCACAGCAGCAGCTAGCACGCGCACCGAGAGCCCTCGCACTCACTTGTTTAACGAATCTACTTGAGTTCTTTGAGGAGGCTACAAGTGAAATTGATCACAAAAAGGCCTATGATGTGATCTACTTAGATTTCCAGAAGGCCTTTGATGTTGTCCCCCACAAACGGCTCCTGCTAAAGCTCAAAGCTGCAGGGATTTTAGGAACTGTGGCAGCTTGGATCGAAAACTGCTTAACTGACAGGAAGCAGCGAGTAATTATTAGAGGCACAATGTCACAGTGGGCCTGCGGTCATAGTGGGGTACCGCAGGGTTCAATTTTAGGACCACTATTGTATATTCCAGTATACTCAGTCATTTCCCTTTTGGTAATTCTCATGATGTCATACTAATAATATTATAGCACTGGGGGTACCCATCAGTCTTCAGGGTGGCATGGTATACTGGTGTAAATAGCTGTGTGTAATAAGCATGTATTGTGTTGTTATTGTGCCGTGCAGTAATGTCATGTGTAGTGTTTAATGTTATTTGTTGTAAGTAATGCATGTGCATGCGCTCACCATGTGGTGTGTAAGAAATCTGGGCAGCCAACATGGTGGGCAGTGTATCTGTGTTGTCAGAACAGCTGGCATACGTCAGATAAAGTTTGTTGGGCCCTCGCCGTGTTTGGTCATGATGCACTATTATTGTTGCCTATATTTATATTGGTTTTATATAATTCTCATGAAAGACATGCATGAGCTCTCCACATACAGTTGTTTTAATTAGACATGAGAGAATTCATATTAGGTTCAGTAGATACAGAATACAGTAGAACCTCGTAACTTTAACGCCTCTTAACTTGACGAGCTTGGACATCAAATGGGGGTCTGTTGAATTTTTTTTTTTACTTATACCTCCTGCTAAAACTTGCATGGGTTGAGATATGTTTAGCTCCACCAGTTTCGACCACGACAGGTTGGTTGAGAAAAATCTAACCGCAACTCGATTGAAAACTCGGAACATGACAAAACAGAACAGACCTGCTAGAACTGGGTAACGACACAACAGGAGTGAGACATAGACGTTAACCAGTCCGGGAGGGTGCAGAGCAACAAGCAATCAGGTAAACACACAAGGGCAGGCACAAAAACAGGCAACAGCTGAAACTAATAATTAAACTCAGGGAACTCTAACAAAGAAACTAATAAACAGAATCTACACCAGGGGAATAACAGACAGGTAAAAACACAAGCATGGGCACAAAACATGAAACCAAAATCAAATACAAATCATACTCATACAAATAAAACACTAGGGAACAAAATACAAAAATAATTTATTTATATATATTTATATGTATTTAGCTTAATGTGCTTAAGCAAGTTCATTAAATTACCTTTATCTTGACCTTCTTACAGAAAACAGCATGGAGGACAACCACCCTGAGGGAACCGCCACCTCCTTAATTGACTCCAAGGAACCCGTGACTTCCTGTTAAGAGGGAAGACCAGCCTCCCCCTGAACCCACATCTTTGCTGGGTCCTTCTCCCGTTCATCCTCCCTGAATCCCTAAGTAAGTGTTGCCCTTCCCCATGTTTCCTGCTCATCCATGTTTTCTGTGCCTCTTTGCCACAATAATCATAACCAAATACCAATTAACTTAATGTTTTATGTGTTTTACATAACATTTATATTGACATATGTTCATTTATTTTATTTTTATGTATTTATTTTTACATTCAAGTGCATTGTTTTATTTTTTCATTTTTATAGTTTGTTCTCAACTTCCTCGTCCTTGACCAGATTTCTGTCAGAGGGTCATGTGATCAGATGAGACTGTACCCAGTCAGTGTACTGTAGATGCAGGTGTGCTGTAATGTGTGGACCATTTAGACAAACTCACTTGATGCGATATCAGTTTAGATCAGACATAAAGATAAAAGTGGAAACGAGGAACTGAGCAGGGCTGATTTTTAATTTGTAACATGTGATGCAGAAAGAGCGGAATGTGCAGCAAAGCACTTTCCGAGACTGCAACTGAAAAGAAAATCAAAACAGAGGGAGAGAAACCACCGATCTGGGAGCAGCAGACGTCGGAGAAGCCCCATCACACATTACTCATCATTTTCACATTCTATTACATTATGTTAGGGTTTCTTACCTATGTTAACTAGCTTTAACTTTTTTGTTGCACTCCCATCATTACAGTAGCCATCATATACACATTTCTTTTCATTATATTTGCGTTTTTTACCTATGTGAACTAGCTTTAACTTTTTTGGAGGACTCCCATCATCACAGTAGTCATCTTGTACACATTTCTTTTCATTATATTTGCGTTTTTTAGCTATGTTAACTAGCGTTAACTCTTTGTGACAGGCTCCATTAAAGACATTAATATCGCGGTACTTTTGTTTTAGGTGGTTTTCCAGTACTTGCACAGAGACAGGTTCCACTACAGAAGCTTCTTTATTCTCCCCATAATATGCTAGACCTACCATTGAGGCAGAATTTTTATCTTTACAGCAGAAAGTTGTCCACATGAGCTCTGGAATATTAACCTTATTATTTAATTTACCTGAGCCTGGCACTGCCCCTGTCACCACATAGGCCTCTGATTTTTCACATTGTTCACTGATTAGTTTAGTGACTTTTTTCTCCACGCAGCACCACTTGCCTCTGTTGAAGTTATAGTGCTGGGGTACCGCATTGGTCAGGGTGAAGGTGGAATTTGCTGTCGCGTTGTCATTGGTGTGTTGTCGTGGGAACAAGTGACCCT